AATGTAGAAAATAGTAGAAAAATTTACAAAAAATGCAAAAAATACCAAAAATTGCAGAAAATTCAGAACATTTATAGAAAAATCAGAAATTATGCAAAAAAAAATACTAGAAAATTGAAGGAAATGCATGAAAAACACAAGAAAATGTAAAAATTATGCAGAAAAGCACCAAAAATTTGTAGAAAATGCAGAAAATACCAAAAAAAATAAAGAAAGTAGCAAAAAATGCATAACTTTTATAAAAGTGCTTTCACAAAAGTACTTCTATAAAAGTACTTCCATAAAATTGCTTTCATAAAAGTACTTTCACAAAAGTGCTTTCATAAAAGTTCATAAAAGTACTTTTATAAGTGATTTTATGCTTTCATAAAAGTTTTTGTAAAAGCATTTTTATAAAAGTGCTTTCGTGTAAAAGTACTTTTGTAAAAGTGTTTTTATGCTTTCATGAAAGTGTTTTCATAAAAGTATTTTCATAAAGTGCTTTCGTGTAAAAATATTTTTATAAAAGTGTTTTCGTGTAAAAATATTTTTATAAAAGTGCTTTCATGTAGAACTGTTTTTGTGTAAAATTACATGTGAACACGAAAGTTAATAAAATCTAATTTCATTTTTAATTTCAAAATGACATGTTATTCCAAGATGACATGTGGCATGGTGGTTTGGAATTGTAATGACATGTGAATGCGCTAAGAGGTTTGAGTTTGAGTCACTTCAACTGTAATCTGTATTGGGCGATACGGCCTGATGTGTATCGATACTTTCAACTTTGATCCAAAGTATTTATTAGATTGGATTGGATCCAATCTGTCTGTAATGAATTTATATTGGATTGGGTTGGATTGAGTCAATATCTGATCCATTCATAAAGGATAAGAATATAGGTGTCAATGGACCAGTTTGAGATAGAATTAATCTAAATTAAAAATAAATTTAAATATATAGATTTGATGGTTCAGAGTTCAGACATTGAATTGGACTGATCCAAAATGGTCTAAATTATTCATGGGATTGGATTGGACCTGGTCCATTTGTAATGAAATCTTATTGGACTGGATTGGGTTGGACCAAATCCAGTCCAAATGATACCCCTAATCATCATCAAAGCGTCAGCAACAGAAATCCTACTTCACAGACTTCAGCTTCAGTCAGGGCAAAGCCGGTTCAAACATCCTCTATTGCCTTGCATCGAGAATATCTCCACACTTGCATTCTTTATTTCATAGAGAGATATTCCCAATGCAAGGGTAAAAAAGGCTGTTAAAACGGTGTGGACACAGCCTTGCCCTGATAGAAGCCGATCTATATTAGGCCTATTAGCTACCTGGCATTGATGAATTCACTTCTCTCAATGTGATCCAAGCCCAAGCATTTTTTATTGCATGTCAATGTGTCATGTGGTTCCAACTTCGATCCTACCACCAAGCTAATTGGGTGGGCCTTAATAGGTTTAGTGAAATAGCGTAGGCTTTCCACCCTGTGTAAAAGGACGTTATCTGTGTTAGGGGTGCAACTTGGATTGGCCCAAGTTAACATTTTATATGGGTGAAGTTGACAAAAATTTTGACATATAAAAATAAAGTTTCATATGGGCCTTCAAATGGCCCATTCAAATTTTGACAAAAATTCAATCCGAGACTATACAAATTATACCCCTAATCTGGGTGGAGTTGATATGTGTGCCCCGTATATATGTCGATCACTTAATGAAACTTAATAACATAAGCAAGGACTCCTCGTATATCTAATTGAACTGATGCATATAGGAACCCCTTTAGATTTAACAAGGCCCACGGTAGGGGTGTCAATTGGACTGGATTTGGTCCAATCCGATTCAGCCCAATGTGAGTCTGCTACAAGTGGATTAGGTCCGCTCCAATGAATATTTCAGATTATTTTGGATCCGTCCAATTCAATGTATGGAGCATCTTATCTGTTCAAATTTGTTTTAATTTAGATTAATTCTAATTCAAATCTGGTCCATTGATACCTATATTCTTATTTTCCATCAATGGACGAGGCATTGGCTCAATCCAACCCAATCCAATATAAATTCATTATGGATGGACCATGTCCAATTCAATCCAATAAATACTTTGGACCATTAAGTCTGGATTGGCCCAATTCTTATTGGTCTGTCCAATCCGTGCAAAATGATTTTGGTTTGAACGGGTCCAATCCAAAACCAGTCCATTTACACCCCTACCCAACAGTGGTTATAACTAGTTTTTGAAAATCCTTAATCTTTGGACTTGGTCCCTCTCTAATTATGAGGGTAGAAAATACAATTTGAATCACTACTTTTCACCTCATCCAATTTCCTTTCATTAAGTCATGTATTTAAGCTATTAATTTTCATTCTCTCTCATTGAATCCTATATTTAAGTTATATTTATTCCATTAATAAATTCTATTAATTAGATCTATATCCAATAAGTTTAACAATATGAAACCTGGCCATGTTTTTAAAACCAACCCAAAACACAAAATCATTCTTCCGTCTTGGTGTTGAGTAAGCAATTCAACCATTCAAGTCAAATGGGTAAACCCATGATGTCATAGTTAAATAATAAACTTTTAAAATAGAAATAAATGCAAAAATACAGAAATTACAAAAATAAAAAAAAAACATAGAAAATTAGGCACTTCTTTAATATTCTATATTAATCATATTAAAGAAAAATAGGTATGATAACTAATAATTGTTTAATTGATTTTGGAAAATAAATACAAAATTTAAAACTGACCCAACAATGAAATTGTTTTCTTATTTGGTGGTAAGTAAATAGTTCAACCTTTTGGATCAAATGTGTCAACCCTTGATATCAAAATTAAATAATAAAAAATTTAAAAAGATAATAACAAAAAACATGAAAAAATATAAAATTTGATAATATTGTATATTAATCATATTAAGGAAAGATAAGTGTGATAAACAATAATTACTTTAATCGATGATAAAGATGAAATACAAAATTTAAAACTAACTCAAAAATGAATGTGTTTTCCTATTTGGTGGCAAGCCAACAATTCAACCGTTTGGGTCAAATGTGACAACCCTCAATATCATAATTGAATGATAAAAATTAAAAATAAGAAAACAAAAAATGATGAAAAATACAAAAAAGTTATAGAAAAAACATTTGGGACATCTTTAATATCATATTCTCATTATATTATACAAAAATAATTGTAATAAAGAAGAACTATTCTTATACTCATAAAAATATAAAAAATTGTAAGAAATTGAAACATATTTTGAATATCATCATCATCTAAAAATATCATCTGCAAAGCAAGTGCACATTTAACAATCCCTAATAGAAGTTAGAATCATCCAAGTAAGGAATCATGACTCTGGTTGTCTAACACGACCCACAAATGTTTGGGTCCCGGCTTAGGTTTTCTATCTAATGCTGGCTCGGGCCTGATTTATAAGCACACACCTGATATTTTAGCAATGGTTTCTCTATTTTATCCCACCTATGTTGTTTAGAAAAAATGGTAAATTACAAAGACCCCCCATATCATGATGTCAATGGCAATTACCCCTTGAACTTTCATTTGCAATAAGATCTCCCTTGTACATTTACTTTGCAGCCCCTGGACTGTTAAGTCATATGATGGAATGCATTAAATTATCAAATATCCGCATCAATTTTCCTTATTTTCTTTTCTTTGCCTTTTTCTCTTAAATTCTAGTTGACCCAAAATACCTCTATTTTTCTCCAAACCAAATCAGCTAAATAAAAAGAATCATTTCAATGTCATAGAAAAACAAGTTTCTTTAAATTCTGTTCATTTCACTAATAAGAATGCATCTCTTCATCTTAAAATATAAATATTATCCTCTCCTTTCTCCAATAAATCAAGAAAAAACAATATCTATAAAAAAGAAGCCTCTACCATTTCATTTGAGTATTTATTTACAACGATCTAATGGAGCAACCAATCAAAAAGAACTCCAATGTTATATTTAGAAAACTAATCAAATAATAAATTGTTATATTTAGAAAACTAATCAATTTATAAATTGTTCAAATAAATAAGAAAAGGGTAATTTAGAAATTTAAAAAAATTTGAAATGTTAGAATGAGAATTTTTTTAGAGATGCAAGTCGGGCTGGTTAGGTCGGGTTGAGGCCAACCCTAGCCCAACCTTAAGTTCTAAACCCCCAAACCAACATTCAACCCGACTTACTCAACCCTAACCCTTACCCAAACTCAATTCTTTCAACCCTAACCCAACGCAACCCAACCTTCTTCCCATCCTTAAAAATCTCATAGAACTTCTTAATCTCAGATCTTAACTCAACTTTCACTACATATATTAATCCTATGTTTTATTAATATTTGTTTGTTGATGTTTTTATTAGTTCTTTAAGTACAAAGTTCAAAAAAATAAGTATTTGAGTTGACTATAGTTTATCATGAGTTATGATTGATAATAGATCTTTTATGGGAAGCAAGCTATGGATAACAAACAACAAAGAAGATATAAAAAAAATATTCAAAAAACATAAAATATGTTATAAGGTTTTAGTCATTCCAAATAGGATTAAGTGAACCTTAAAAGAAATAAATGATAGTATGTAATGGGGGCTATACAACTATCATATTATATATATAATATATAATTATATATGATATATACTATAGAGTTAGGTTTGGATTGAGCCAGATTGCCCGAAGGGTCAACCCTAACCCAATCCAAACTAAAGTCGGATTCATAAATTTAACCCTAACCCTAATCCGAGAATCAACCGTTGGGTTCAGGCCTATCCGGCCCATGTTGTGGCCTTAATTTTTTTTTATTTTTTTGGGGGATTTTTGTACACAAAGTGAAAGCTGAGGGAGTATTTGTCTCGAATGAAAGTTAAGTGGTAATTGTCTATAATTTATTAGGGTGTGCCCAAATCAGTTCCCTTTACATGATGTGTAATCTGAATTCCTTGATGATGTATGCCGTTGGATTGTCATTCGTACTAAAGAATCGTGAAAGACCATCCGTCGCTAGTGGGTGCTCCTAGGAGGGCTCATGACTCATGATTTTCTCCTCCAGTTTCGACTCTCGAGCCTCGACATCTTCTGTTCTTCCTTCAATTTCAATCATTCTCAGGTTCCAATTTCGGAAGTAACCGGACTGTAAACTGAGTAACTCCTGTAAACGAGGGGAAGGAAAATGGCGACTCTAGCTCGTTTGTCCAGAAAAGCTCTAAAAGCTGGCCTCTCATCTTCATCCCTTTTTCCCCGTGGTCTCTCCACCGAAGCAGCGAAACTAACTGTAACTGATCGAGTGAAATGGGATTATAGAGGACAGAGAAAAATAATCCCTTTAGGGCAATGGGTTCCCAAGATCGCCGTCGACGCCTATGTGGCTCCAAACGTCGTTCTAGCAGGGCAAGTTACGGTTAACGACGGATCTTCCGTCTGGAACGGTTCAGTTCTTCGCGGCGATCTCAACAAAATCACCATTGGATTCTGCTCAAATGTGCAGGAGAGGTGCGTTCTCCACGCCGCTTGGTCGTCTCCAACAGGTTTGAATAGTGCCTATCCTCCATTTCTGTTGAGTTTGATCCATAGGGTTTTCGAATGTCTTTTTGTTTGTGGACACTGATATTTTGTTAAAAAAGAAAATTGGGGATCGTTGTGATTACCACATGTTAGAATTTACTTTCAGATGATGCATATAATCTTTGAATTCCATAAATTTTGTTTTATCACTTCCAAATAGAAGGTTAAAAAAGGAGAGAGAAATTTAAGTTTATGGGGAATGCATATTACCGAAAAAATCGACCTATTTGTTCACCGAAGCCAACATGAAGATCCCAAAAGTCAAAACAGCCCGATTAAACAGTCTAAAAGAACTCCATTTTTTTGGATTGTCTTACGTATAGGGCATCTAAAGTGCTTCTACTCGTTAAATGCAATTGAGGAGTGGGATTGCACCATCTTTGATTTTGTACAAGGTAGTTGGCATTCTTTAGAGCTCAGCAAGCATATGACACACCAAGGCTATATAGATATATAGATATAAGTAAATGTAAAAAAAAAAACAAAAGAAAAAAACACTAGTAGAACGAAGATGTATCTTTAAAAAGTATGGATTATGTAGTTAAAGATTAAAGAAGTAAAAGCAGAATCTTGCGGTGCTCAATTTCCTGAAACCGTACTTTTGTTTTGTTTCTAGGCTTCTAGCATATGATGCTCTCAGAAAATCCCCAAATTCTGGGAGTTCTAATAGAACCATAGAAAACACTTCCACAGTTCCACCTCTCTACTGTCATTCAATGTAGGCTGTTGATATTTACCATCACCATTTGGTATTCCCTTTCCACAACATCTACCCGGATTTTCTTACCTGTTAGAACCAGGTGTTACTTCCTCTACTTACATGAGAAGAATGTATGCCAATGCTAAAAATATGGACACACAAATCTAAATGCCAGCAAGAACTATGGGAGCAGAGTTGCCACTATACAAAAAAAGCGCTCCCTACCCCCTATCCCAGTTATGTGGAAAGGACAGCCCCTCTTTCCTCCTCAAGTTACACTCTTAACCACAAAAGCCAAATCAAGCCAAGGATACCTGGTTCTCCATCCACTATATCTATAGGAGGTTAAAGGCCCTGCTTACAGGTAACTTCCCCATGTGCAAATTTGGGAATCCCCAGTTCCTTCCAGAATTGTGCTTCTGGTGTGGATAGCTTCCCTTGATAAATGTATAACCTTGGGTTGGTTGAGAAAGCATGTAATAAATATCTTAGGCCTCTCTTCTATGTTACCCAGGAATAGCTAGATAAGGCATCTAATAAGAAACTTACACTAAAAATTGAACTATCCAACTCAAAATGGCAGCTATATATAGGCATCCAGTTAGGGGCCATTACTTGGTGTAATGGCAAAATCTCAAGCTGTCAAGCACAAGAATGCAGGTTGAGTCTGAGAACAGCCACTTTGTGCCAAAAATGCCAAAGGTTAGGACCGTGTCCAGTCCACCCCTCCCAAGACCACAGATGGCTGGGACCAACATTAGGTAATGGCCTTTTTTATACAAACATCCAGTTATCATGGCCTGTACCATGAAAAAAAGACCCAGTTGTCATAGCCTCTCTTGTATGTTGTGCTCTGAGAAAAATGAGATAGATAACCAGCTTTCTTATATTCAAGGTTTAAAATGTCGATGTCGATGGAAATGTCGGTTACCAAAATATAGGACATATGTCGGAAATGTCGGAAATGTCGAGGGGAAATATTGTAAAAATTAGAGACATTGTGGAAATATGCAAAGATATTTTGTAAAATGATAAAAGAAGCATTAA